GCTGCCCGCGGGGCCCTGTGGTGCCACGGCCTGGCCTTCTTCTCTCCGGCATACTCCACCTCTGGAGGTCAGCAGGCACCAGACAGGGCTGGGGGAGCGGGGTGGCTGCCACAGTCTCCCCCGAGTTCACACCGAGCCGCCGGGGAGCTGGGGAGGCCCGGAGGCAGCGGTGGGCCAGGTCCCAGGCGGGCAGGAAGACACAGCAGCACGGTGACAGGCATGTGCTCTGCTCCAGGACTGCTAGCCCTGCACCCGTGGTCCGACCAGCCCCAGGGGGTCTACCTCCTGCCCCCCGGGACTCCCTTTGTCGAGCTGCTGCCCACCAGGGATGGAGCCCAGGAGGACGACACCCGCACGCTCCTCCTGGCCGAGGCCCAGCGAGGCAAGGAGTACGAGCTGGTGCTCACTGACCACGCCAGCCTGACCAGGTGCCCACCCAGCCCTGCCACCCAGCCCGAGGGGCATCGGGCTCAGCTCACCCCCATGTTGCCCTTCCAGGTGCTGCCTGGGTGACATCGTGCAGGTGGTTGGCACCCACAATCAGTGTCCGGTGGTCAGGTTCGTGGACAGGTAGGTGCCGGGTACCAAGGGCTGCCCTCTGCTTGCCCTGGGCCCTGGCACCTCTACCTTTTTCCTTCTAGGCTGGGCCAGGCTCTGAGCGTGCGTGGGGAGGTCACCAGTGAGCGTCTGTTCTCCGAGGCCCTGGGCCGGGCTGTGGCGCAGTGGCCAGGTGCCAAGCTGCTGGACCACTGCTGCGTGGACAGCGGTGTCTTGGGTGGGTGCCTTGGCCCCACCTCCCACCCTGAGGCGGCCACCCTGACCTCTGGACAAGAGGAATTTAACTCTTCCACGGCCCCTCACCAGCTCTGCAGTTCCAAATGGTCCTTGCTGCCAGTCTGCCTGCTCTCTTCCTGCACTGGCCAGTGTAGACTGAGGCTCCAGGCTCTCCTCTGTGTAACCCCCCGAGCCCCTTCCCTGGGAACCTCAGAATGGGGTTTCCCAAGCTGGATGAGGTGGCTTGTGCCTGTCACCCCAGCACTAGGGAGGCTGAGGCAGGAGGATCGCTGCAAGTTCCAGGCCGGCCTGGGCTACACAGTGAGTTCAAGGCCAACCTGAACTACAAAGCAAGGCCGTGTGCTCAACACAACAAAACCCCATGGGGAGCAGGAGAGGACCCTTTCTCAGGGAGTGGTGGGCTTGGGATCTCTGCAGATTCTTCTGAGGGCTCTGCACTGCACTACGAGGTGTTCCTGGAGCTGAGGGGGCTGAGGAATCTGTCGGAGGAAAATCGCTACAAAGTGAGAGCCCAGAGGGGTCTGGCTGCTGCCCCGGGGAGCTCAGTGGGGTGGGCACAGTCTGGCTCCTGGACACAGGCCCACAGCCTGCCTGCCTGTCTCCGGCCTCTGTCCCCAGCTGGACCTCTGCCTGCAGGACGCCTCCCCGCACTACAAGTCCCTGCGCTTCCGGGGCAGCGTGGGCCCTGCCCAAGTGCACCTGGTGGCCCACGGGGCCTTCAGGGCCCTCCGCGCCGCCCTGGCCACAGGGCTGTCATCCTCTGCGCCCACTGCGATGCCCCGAGTGCTGAAACACCGGCGGCTGGCCCAGCTCCTGCAGAGGAAGCTGCTGTCCTGAGCCGCTCTCGGCCACCCTGGAGAGTCCCCACGTAACCAATGGCTTCCTGTGTCCCCCCCACAGCCCTGCGCCTGACCTGTGTGCTGGGTGGGCTGGAAGCGTGGGGGGCAGGGAGGACTCCCCAGGAGACGCTGGTCCAAAGGATGGGAGCTGTGAATAAAGATCCAGTGTCCCTGTCGTCGTCGTGGTGTGGAATGAAGCGTCCTGTCCTCAGCTCTCTGGGGCCTCCCTGGCAGGCAAGTCCCACTCCCTGGGGTCCCTCCACTTGTGCCTCCTAGATCGGCCCCAACAAACCTCTCCCACCCAGAATCTTGGCTCCATCTGCTCTGGGGAAACCTTAGGGGTCCTGCCCACCTTCCACTCTGGGCACCAAGGTGTCCCCAGCTCGCACTGGACTTGACCCCAGTCTCATGCACACGCAGGGGCCTTTGTGGGGCCCCCCAAAGCCTAGGGCCCTCTCCACCTCTGTGCCAATCAGAACACAGGGCGGGCTGTTCCAAAGTCCCTTACCCTGGCCTAGCATTGTCCCTTTCCGGCTCAGACTCACAAACCACTACCATGTGGGGGTGCCGGGGGCGGGGCACTGGGGGACAGTGGCAAACAGGAAGGTTGGGCCCACTCCCCGGAGGTGGGCGGCAGACTGGACAGCGGGGAGACTTCCCTGTGGCTTCTGGTGTCCACCGTGTTGCTCAGTGGAAGGGCAGTGGAGGAAGGGACAGGCCACATCAGGACCAGGGCCGTCTCCATGGAGAACGGGGGAGGGAGAGACCTGCACACCGTGGACCCTGGGCCCCAGCACTGCCCTAATTAGCTGCTGTTTCCTCCCTCATTGTCCCAGGCAGCGCCTGCCAAGGTGTCCGTCCTTTGTGGGTTCACATTCCTGGGGGCACGGTGGCCTCATTAGTGCCCGGAGACCGTCCCATCTCTAGGGAGAGGGCAGGCTGATGGGGGGGCTGGGCTCCGCAAGGCAGCGCAGGCTGCCCTGCTTCCCCGCGGCCATTCCTGGGGCCCAGCTTGGAGACCGGCCGGCGGGATGCTAATCTTAGACGCGCCTTTGTCTGCAGCCTGCCCTTTCCCCAAAACCTTGGAGCTCTATAAACCCGGACCTGGGTGCGTCACAGTCACAGCCTCGAGGTTCCTGAGCACCCACAGCCCTGCTCTGCAGACAGCCCAGGGAGCCCATGAACCCAGGCACCATGAACCTGCCCCCCACAAAGGTAAGATGCGGGCTGCAGGACAAGCCGTGGGTCTCCGCTTTTCTTAGGAGCTTCATTTGTTGAGCTCCCTGCCAGCAGCCCAGCCCCCAGGAGTCGCTCAGCCAGCGCAAAGGGTACAGGTGAGGAAGCCTTGTTCCGGACAGCCTGGGGTCCCGCCAGGGTCCAAGGTCCCCGTGTCTGGCTGCAGGAGGGGCACTGTGGGGCATCAGCGCACTAAACGAATGTTCGGTTCTCTCTGAGTTTCCAAGTGGTGGTGCAAAGACTCGGACTGGCCAGTCTCAGGTGGGGAGCAGCGCACCTTTAACAGGGGGACAGGAGGCCCTGAGGAAGCGTCAGAGGGCCCCTGCTGCACCTCTGGGCCTTCCGTGGGTCTCGAAGGATCCCAGCAGGGGCGCAGGGGCAGGACGGCCGAGGGGCCGCGAGGACAGGGGGTGAGGCGCTGGCTGTAGGTGGGGACCCACCCCCACCCCCGCTCAC